ATGGTAGAGCTTCAACTACAGCGTCAGCTAGGTCGGTGATGAACAAAGAGTTGCACCCAAGAGCAGGCACGCGACCCCAGTTCTCTATGCCGGAGTCCAGAGCTAAATGTTTATATTCCATGTCAATCTCTTCAAGTGTCTCTATGTGTTCACTCACAAAGCTGGAATTTGAGATGGAAGTGAAGTTAATTTTTACTACATAACTGAGCCTTTAAAAACCAAACATCAAGAACAAGATCTTTGAACTTGAGTAGTGTACCTTACTGGAACGGCTAGAAGACTCTTCACTCCTTTCTGACCAATCTCGACAAGAACTTCATCGGTGTAGGGCTTCAGCCATTGGACAGGTCCAACTCGACTCTGGAAGGATAGAATTGAGAAAAAGTCAGAGCATAACAGTTACGAAATTTGAAGTGAAAGCAGAAACTCTGTTCTATAATCGACCTGGTAAGCAAGGGTGTGATTGTTTCCAATCCCTCTAGCTTTCAGCTCTTTCATAATTAAGGAGATGCACTCCTCCATTTGATCTTTGTATGGATCCCCAGCGTCCTCAACATAGCTGACAGGTACCCCATGGGCACTAAAAAATATCATGACCTGATGTTTTAAGGATTATTAGAATTGCAATAAAGTCTATCAAATAGAGACCATGATTCAAGATTATCAAAAGTATAATCGATGAATTTGTGCATCGAAAAGTACACAAAGTAATCAAACCAACCTCCTCAGGCTTTGCAAATTTACCCAATTCTTTCTCAATTAAGTCCGCCATAGACTGAATATAACCTTGTCGTTGATACCATGAAAGAATGACAGAAACAGGTAGTCTCGATAAATATGCATCTTCCCTGAAATTTAACCCACAGCCATTTATGAAGGAGACTGCTAATGGATAGTTTAGTGTCAAACAAATTATCAAAACCTACTTGAATACACGTTGAAGAACTCGGAAGCTGGACCCAGTTGTGGAGATGGAGAACTGAGGATATAGTGGCAGCACAACAAGCTTTGTTATTCCGTCTCGCTTAATCTGTTCCATAAAATAAAGCCTAAGCAATAAATACTCGATGCAATTTGGAGATGGATCATTAAGTGCTAATCAGATAGTTCCTTATAACGAGAGTTTTAATTTCAAGTTAATGAATTATCATGGCATAGTCATACAATGCCATGAAATTGCAGAAGGGCATGTCATTGTTTTCCTATATTACTCAAACTCAGGCGTGAGTCGTGGATATGGGTATGTCTATTTTTTAAAAAAGTTTGTCAGCGAACTTTGGTGGGTCTTTGGAGGGTCACATCCCATACCGATATCCAGAGATGCATTGGATGTGGATACTTAGAAAAATGAGTCAAAGCACCGTAGATTCTTTCTTTTCTTCGTACTCCCCATATTTCTCCCTTATGAACATATTGATCAACTTGACAATAAACCCTAAAACCTAAAGAAATAGCAATAGATCATTCATGGATATAATAATACCACAAACCTGTTCAATTGCCTCCTCAGTGAACGGGAACCAATATCGCATTCCAACGTATACATTGGCATGTACGTTCTTAGCCTCCAACGCCATTCTAAGAGCATCTGCCTGTAACAAAAATTTCAAGCTATAAATACACTAATAAAATGCAAACAACAAAAGCTTCATCATAAAACACTAATCAATAGTGTGGTTAACTTTGAACAAATATCCATACAAAAAACAAAAGCTTCAAGCTAAAAGCATCCACCTGCAACAAATCCTTCAAGCTATAATTGAATAATTTCAATTGCAAACAACAAAAAAACTTTCATGACATGATAGCACCGTTCACTTTGTATCAAATATTCATATGAAAGAAAAGACAATTGTTTCAATTCTATACAACACTAGCCTAGAAGATGAAAGTAACATGTCAATTTCTGCAAAGAAGGGAATTTATTTTACCTGTTCATCAGTTATTTTACGCAGAGGCGACCCACCACCAATGGCAGCATACCCTTCTTTGCTCTTGGGAGCTCGGAGAACAGATATCAACTTTGCCAGTGGTCCTTGTAGAAACCTTAACAGCCGAGGCAGCCGTATAATGTCCTACATAAACAAACATCATCGCCATCAGCACACCATTGAGACTTAACTTAAAACCCAGAAATATTTATACAAATAACATATATAAGTAGCAAGAAAAATCAACATACAGGATCAGCAAACAAGTTATACAAAAATGGTTGAACATCGTTAAGAGTCTCTGGACCGCCAAGATTCAAAAGTAGGACCCCAAGCTTCTCCTCCGCAGCGTGTGAGAAATGAGATTCCGCAACATTTTCGGGGAAAGTGCAAACCCCCACCGCACAATTCGTTTGTAAGTTCAGATTTCTCTTCTGAATTGCTCCATCGCTGAGATTGCGTCCTTTGAGAACGCTATGATTTTGAGTATTCGAATCGGAACTTGAAATGACAAGGGGTTTCGATGAAGGTTTATCAACGTCATTAAGTCCCACAAAGAAATTGCGTGATGCAGAGGCTATATATCTACCCCGAGGAATCGACCTGGAAACAAGAAAAATAAAGAAATTAACGAAGGCGTAATTTGGGAAACATTTAGGCAAGTTATTAGGATCTAAAACTCATTCACCAAAACCAATTATAAACCTTTGATTCAATCCCCCAAAAATGCAAGGAACAAAAGACTGACCTTGTAAATCTATCATTATAATTGCAGAGACTGGAACCAGATAAAGACGCAGCCTCCATGATTTTTGATCTGAAGACCTCTCTTTTTTTAATTGAAAGTGCAATAGAAAAATGGGTGTTAGGTGATTTGAGAGAGATTCTTGTAAGGGTTTGTTGAGAAGGAAATGGGAAATTTTTATTTATGAAAATCGAAAAGTCAAAGAAAAACTTCAGTCCCAAAGGCCAACCGTATTGTTAAAGTCAAACCAGAGTTTTCATTGACCATTTCAAAGGGAGACCTTAAATAGGATGGAGGCCTACACCTCCATAGAAGCTTCCAAGAAGGTCCGAGTAAAGGCGGTGCCTTTTTTTAAATAAAAAAAACCACAGGTGGTGTTAACTATTTATTTTTATCGAAATTTTTTTAAACATTAAAAATAATTCTAGGTATAATTTTCATACATATTTTCATATTAATTTTTTAATTTTAAAATATCACATTAACGGAGTTAACATAAAATTGTAACGATTTTACTAATTTGACTCAAATTTTTAAATTTAAAATTAAAGATTACGTTCTTAAAAACAAAAGTAAAGGTCTGCATTTAAGGGTTGGCAATTCAAAAGAGAAAAAAAGGTTTTCGTGAAGCATGTAATGGCTTTTTTTCGGTGGTATTGCATAATTGTGTTACGGGAGAAATGAGATAGTTTAGGATGGACTAGGGGTGTAAACAAGTCGAGTCGAGCTCTAGTATTGCCGAGCTTGACTCGAACTCGAAAATTTTAAACATAAGTTCGACTCGATTCGAAAACTCGCGAGTCTAAAATTTTCAGCTCGACTCGAACTCGAAGATAATATTGAACTCGACTCGAACTCGAAAAAGCTCAACTCGAAAAAATTCAAGAGTTCAACTGAAGCTCGAGACTCGATTGAAGCTCGATTTTGAGCTCGATTCAAGCTCGATTGTGAGCTCGCTTAAGCTCGTGATGGGTTAATATTCTTTTGCTAAACCCATCCCCTTTAATTCATTCGACTTATCCCTTATTCCCAAAAACTAACGATGTGGGATATCACTCACATAGGACAGTGTATTCCAAAGTGGATTGACGGCACAGAAAACCCCCTTTACATCATGTAGATAGGAAGGAATCAAGTGACCGTTTTGGAGTTAACATAAAATTGTAACGATTTTACTAATTTGACTCAAATTTTTAAATTTAAAATTAAAGATTACGTTCTTAAAAACAAAAGTAAAGGTCTGCATTTAAGGGTTGGCAATTCAAAAGAGAAAAAAAAGGTTATTCGTGAAGCATGTAATGGCTTTTTTTCGGTGGTAATTGCATAATTGTGTTACGGGAGAAATGAGATAGTTTAGGATGGACTAGGGGTGTAAACAAGTCGAGTCGAGCTCTAGTATTGCCGAGCTTGACTCGAACTCGAAAATTTTAAACATAAGTTCGACTCGATTCGAAAACTCGCGAGTCTAAAATTTTCAAGCTCGACTCGAACTCGAAAGATAATATTGAAACTCGACTCGAACTCGAAAAAGCTCAAACTCGAAAAAAATTCAAGAGTTCAACTGAAGCTCGAGACTCGATTGAAGCTCGATTTTGAGCTCGATTCAAGCTCGATTGTGAGCTCGACTTAAGCTCGTGGATGGGTTAATATTCTTTTGCTAAAACCCATCCCCTTTAATTCATTCGACTTATCCCTTATTCCCAAAAACTAACGATGTGGGATATCAACTCACATAGGACAGTGTATTTCCAAAGTGGATTGACGGCACAGAAAACCCCCTTTACATCAATGTAGATAGGAAGGAATCAAGTGACCGGTTTTCATCAAAATGGCAAGCAGAATCTTGTAAAAAATAAACAATAAATACCATTAAATGAAGAACAATCTGCATAATTAAACTTTCTTCTCGAGAAATCAATAACCATTTAAGAAGCCTTTTTTGCAACCAACACCAACCTCGTGCATTTCAGTTTCATTCATTTCGTCCTTTTCCCTTCTCTTTTTGAACGTTACTCACATTTGTTGACCATCTTTTCTTCTTTCTTTTGTGCTTTTCGTGTACTATAAGTCTATAACAGTCTCCTTATTGCGTAACTTTTCTGTCAGCATGAAGAAGATGACGATGAAGATGAAGCTTCATAATTCCATTCACCATAATTGTATGTGTTTTGAACAAATATCAATGTTATTCTACTTAATATTTTAATTATTAACTCGACACGACAGTGGTTTAATTTCAAACAACTTGAAATAGCTATATTCAAACCGAGAAGTAAATGAAGAGTTTCTGTGGGTACATATTGGAAAAAGAAAAACACTAAACGTGTAGATTTTGTAATTGGCTTATGGTGGTGAATTTTTATGTATTTTCTTCTTTAGTTTTTATTACTATGTTTCATGGTATTTTACCAACATTTGTATGCAGATCTTATGCTTGCAGGGATCACCAGATGGACCTGAACAGTAAGTTCCTTTTCTTTTTATGGTTATTCACACATTCCACCTCTGCTTTTAGACTTCATAATGATTTCTTCTTTTCAGATATGTTGCAATCATGAATGCAATATTCTCTGCCCAACGCTCTGAGGTAATCAAATGTTACATCCAGTATTTCTTTCTCATTGTTTCAATATATATTTGTCAAATTTCCTCTCAAATTTCATGTTTCATTAATTCTGCAGTTCATTACCAACTCAATTCAACCTAGTCCTCTATGTTCTTTCTTATAGTGACTTGAAAACTTTAGATGTAGTTGTGAAGTTAAATATCCTATTCTTTCTACCATCCGTAGCAGCTGTTTGGATTTTTTTTTGGCGATTTATGTATAGGGTAGGTATCACAATGACAGCTTCTAGTTGGCCAAATGGTCTTAACCTTGTAGTGGAAATATTATTGTTTTCATTCTACCATCTTGTTTTTGAGTAGAATGGTTTGCATTATGTCGATGAAATTTGGCATCTTTCATTTTTTTAGTTTGCGACTGTTTTTTATTTTACTCACTCCCTATACACATGAATACATGCATGATACAACTAACTGGCTTATTTATTCTTTTCTTTTGTATGTGTAGTTTTTCTTGCTTCAAAGGTGTTCTTGTCGCCAGTCTTAATTAACTGGCTACCTTCTGCAGGTTCCTATAGATTCTTGTTACATAGGTGCACAGAATTCAGCCTTTCTGCAACAGGTATGGCACCTTTAGTAATGCTCTCTTACTGGCCTTATGCTGCAAACATACATTGGTTATCCTCCCTCAGTTCTACTGATACGCTTTGATGCTTGGGACTTTTAGGCTTCTTACATAATTGTTGGTGTACATCATAAGCCACAAAATTTGGATGGGTTGTTTCAATATATTATGGTATTTTGTTTTTCTCAAACTGGTTAGCAATTTGAATTTTTGATTTAATAAATTGCTTGTTGCCAACAATCGTCCCTCTGTACAGATTGATGAGCTTAACTTGATTTCTTGACATATGTTTTATAGTACTTGTTCATGATGACAGTACCTTGTAGCATTTTGCATATCGTTAAAGTGCATATTTCTTTATAAATGTTCTTTGAAGTGCATTTGGTTGATGAAAATTTGGGCAAATTATTTAATTAATATGTTATTGGTTGATAAATTTATAGTTTGGTATGTTATACTTTAATTTTTGTATTTCAATCACATTTGTTTAAATTTTCTTATTTGTTTTAAATGTTCAGGTGTCATTTATGTTATTTTTCATATTATTTTAGCTTAAACCGAATAGGATCAATTGCATATAAGACCCTATAGTTTATGCGCATTTTGTATTTAAGTCATTGGTTTAATTCCAATTTTGTATATTTATTTTAATCCCTGTTTAGGATTGTTTTCTTTAATTAGTTGTGTATATTTATTTTGCATGTTGATATGTTTATGTATAAGTATGTGCATGATTTCTTTAGGAGTCACATAACATCATTTTGCATAATTTGTATGTTACCTTCATGTGCATAACTTAAGCCCTAAACCCTAATTCATAAACCTTAAACCCAAAACTATAAACCTTAAATCATATCACATAAACTCTAAACCTTAAACCTAAACCCTAAACCCTAAACCCTAAACCCTAAACCCTAAACCCTAAACCCTAACCCTAAACTCTAATCTCTAAACCTTTATATTTATGATATTTGAACTCGAAACCTCAAAATATAACAATAATTTTAAAAAATTAGTTATTTCAAATATTATCATTAGAAATATATTAAATATTTGTCATTAGATAAATAATTTTTTTTAAATTTAAAATAAATATAAGAAATTTATTCAAAAATAATTTTTAACCATTTTCAATTCAAGAATATTTATTCATCAATAATGTATTTTTAATATATTTTTAATAATGTAATTTTAAAAAATTTAAAATTATAATATAACATTTTTTCGAGCTGCTCATGAGCTTTTCGAGTCGAGTATCGAGTAGCTCGTTTCGGCTCGTTAAAAACTCGAGTCGAGTTCGAGCTTGAGTCGAGTCCATTCGATCCGAGTATTTATCGAGCCAAGATCGAGTCGATCTCGAGTAGCTCGCGATCTGTCTCGTCTCATTTACAACCCTAGGATGGACACATGATTTTATGTTATGAGTTAATTTTTAAAATTTTAAAGGAATATGAACTTATAAAATTTAAGGTTGACAAAAATATATTATCAACAAAAAATATAAAAAAAGTATTTAAAATATATGATAATTTGAAATTTGAAGATCCCTTAATCCATCCACGGAGATATGAACGTAAATAAATAGTTATACTATGGAACAACTGATTCAGTGAACCGTGAATAGATTGCCTAGATTACTATAGCATGATGAATTAGGCTACAATGAAATGATCATTCCATCCAGCCAAACACATGGTGCAAGGAGTTAGGTGGGTAGTGCTTATTTATTATTTATTAGGTGACTTTAATGGCTACTTTTTACAGGATAATCAAACAAGTAATTTCAAAAAAAGAGCTAATTTGCTATCTTGTTTTTCAAGTATGATTCAAAAGTTTGAAATTGTGAATGAAAAATGAATGATTAGAAGGTGAACCATGCAAATATTGTGTAAAGTGATCATCATGAAGAACATCTATATATAAGCTGCATCCCTTGAAAAAAGTTTGTCATTATTAGATCATTAGGAAAATTGCTTGTGATTACATAAAAACCCACACACACAACATTTGACAGATGCTCTTGATTATAAATTGAGAGGCAATAGCAAAATGATAACAGGTTCTATGCATTCTTATGGTTTTAAAGGAGTGGTCATTTTCTTGGGGTTAACCCTTTGTTATGTGCTAGGGGAGGGTGAATTAGGGTTGGCTACATCAAAACAGAAGAATTTGGGTGCTAAAAAACCAAACAACCCTCCAAGGCATGCAGTGAAATCAATTCAGGTATATTTTTTATGCTTTTGGTCCATATTTTTTTGAACCCGGACCTTAGTTTAGTCGGTTTATGTAATAATAAGATTGGAGTTTGAATTCTAATATATGTAATTTTGTTTAATTGCGTTTCGAGTGTGACAATAAAAGTTATAGAATTTAGTTTTGCAACCAAATGAAATAACAAATACGTGTATGTTTTTGATCTGCAGAGTGAAGATGGTGACATTATAGATTGAATCGACATTTACAAGCAGCCTTCACTTGAACATCCTTCATTGAAGGATCACATCATCCAGGTATGCATTTCATTTTCTCGTAAGATTTATTTCCAAACACTTTGATAGTTTGTTTCATGTAGTTGGAACCAAGTTATATCCCAAACAAGGAGGAAAGTCCAACAAGTGAACAACCTTCCAGGACAGTAACATCTCAACAAATATGGAGGAGAAATGGAAGCTATCCGAAAGGAACAATCCCGGTATGAAGAAGCCGTCACGACGAAGAGCTATTATCGAAACAAAGCTCTGCATCGAAGCCTCCATTAACCATTCATCAAAAGAACCACTCGGAAGTCGGTACCCGTTGTGATAAATAAATCTACTATTTTTCATTGGCAACATTTTTTTCACTTTTCAGAAGGCAATAGTGCTTACAGGAGGGTATAACTATGCTGGAATAAAAGGAGATATGAGGGTATATCAACCTTTTGTTGAATTCGATATCATAAGTGGCCCTTGGTATGATTTTGAGTGCGTTCAAGTTGGTTGGGTGGTTAGTATATCAAAATGCCTCTAAGTTCCATTGTATTTGATCTTATATATAGCTGTTATAATCTTAATATTTTCAAGCTTTTTTCAGGTGAACCCTAGAACGTATGGAGACAGAGAAACAAGATTATTTGCCCCGGATTCGAGTAACATAGTATTTTCTCTCTCCAGGCTGATGCATCGAATCAAACCGGCTGTTTCGATATGACTTGCCCCAGATTTGTTCAGACCAGCCATGAGATTGCTCTTGGAGCAGTACTTTCTGTTGCGGAAGACGGCTATCGGATAGAGCAAAATCGCAATTGATAATTTGGGGAAAAAATGAAGATAAAAGAGACAAAATTTACATGGAAAACCCCTGAATAATATAGGGTAAAAACCACGGGTAACGGTAGAAGAATTTCACTATGAGAAAATAGGAATTACAACTTCTCTCAATCGACCAAGGAGAAAACAATGATAATTCTCTCTTGATAAAAAGGAGAAAACAACTCTCAAGAAACTCTCTAAATTCTCTCTAGTATTTGAAGAAAGCTAGAATGCTTTGGGATAGTTTTGAAGCTAAATGAGCTAGTGTATTTATAGTTGAAACTTAAGGACTAATTTGTAAATACTCTAAAATACAATGACTAAATGTGTAGTTGTACCTTGCTAATTTTCAACCATTTTAGCAGCCCAATTTGAACCAAAATAGCAGTCGGCTGCTGCCACTTAAATTGACAATTATTTTCAACAATCTCCCACTTGAAGATTTGATTGGAACAATCATATCTTCAACCATTCTTTCTACCTTGCACCATCATGTTGCTTACGTCTCTTACAGGCCACAAGAGGATCGACACCAGGTAAATTTATCAGCATTGATCGCCTTCGTCATGAAATCTGCTATATTGTCTTTGGTATGGATCTTCTGCATATCTACCGTCCCTTCTTCCACCTTTTCACGAATGAAATGGTACTGAACTCGTATGTGCTTTGTCCTTGAATAAAACGTTAGATTCCTTGCTAGATGCAAGGCGCTTTGACTGTCACAAAACAGAGAGACATACTCTTGATTGTGCCCAAGCTCCTCCAATAGCATCTTCAACCAAATTGCTTCTTTACAGGCTTGTGTAGCTGCTACATATTCTGCTTCTGTTGTGGATGTAGTCACAACTGACTGCAATTTTGAAACCCAGCTTACAGCTCCACCAGCAACTTTAAACACATATCATGTAGTAGATTTGCTTTTATCCAAATCTCTTGCATAGTCAGAATCTACATACCCATTGATTAGTAAGTTTGATCCTCCGTAACATAATGCAATATTTGAATTCCCTTTGATGTATCTCAAGATCATCTTTATTGTATTCCAATGCTCTTTGACTGGATTCTCCATGTACCGACTAACCACTCCCACTGCTTGTGCAATGTCTGGTCTTGTGCATATCATAGCAAACATTAAACTTCCCACTGCTGATGCATACGGAACTTAAGACATATCCATCCTCTCTTCTTCACTGCTAGGACTCAGACTGGAGGATATTTTGAAGTTAATAGGAAAAGGGGTAGAAATTGGCTTACAATCTTGCATGCTGAATCGTGACAAGATCTTCTTCAAATAATTCTTTTGTGAAAGCCAAATCTTCCTATTACTTCTGTCTCGGCGAATTTGCATCCCTAGAATCTTGTTTGTTGATCCCAAGTCATTCATTTCAAATTCCCTAGCCAGTTGTGCCTTCAATTCTTCAATATTATCTTTTTTGGGTCCTGCAATCAACATGTCATCCACATACAACAACAATATAACAAAATCGTTATCACCAGACCTCTTGAAATAAGCACAAGGGTCTGCATTAAGTCTGTTGTATCCAAGGCACATAATGAAGGAATCAAATCTCTTATACCAACACCTCGGCGTCTGCTTTAGACCGTACAGAGATTTGTTCAACCTGCAAACCAAGTTCTTCTTTTCTTTTTCTTCAAAACCTTCAGTGTAACATCCGCAATACCGGGTTAGTGACTAAATTGAAAAGTTTCAGAATTTGGTGACTAAAGTAGAAGAATGAAATAATTCAATGATTATTGGAAATATATGATGAAGGTTATTTAGTAATTATTAAAGGAAATTAAGGGTATTATGGTCTTTTTCCTTTAAAAGATATTTTTTTCCTTTTATAAGAGTG